GGGGAAGAGCACAACTTTGGGACAGATGTGGATTTAAATCCCAGGGCCACCGTTTCCCAGTGATAGATAAGCAAGGACTGTAATGTCATTGAACCTAATTTTTCCAATTTGTCATAGGGGATCACAGCATAGGTTTGTGGGATTGTTGTCAGGGTTAAATGAGAACTATCTGTAATGTAACCAGTATAGATCCTGGCCAGTAATAAAACTCAATAAATAACAGTAGGTGTTTTTATTAAGATCATTATTAATTTTTGAAGTTGGTACATTTCCAGAAGTGACTTGGCTCCATCCACAAACTTCATTCCATGGGAAACAAAGCTAAAGGGTGACAAAGCATTCAGAAGCAGACGTTTGCCCCCATAGGAAAGGACATTTGTAAACAGTGGGCAAGGACACAAAGGCAAACTATTTGCTGTGTGCCAGTCCTGGAAAGGAAGGAGGGAATCGAGGCAAGAAAGAACATCAGAAACCAAGAAGCAGAGTGAAGTTATGTAAGGACTCTCTGAGGCAGAGTCACAGACAGGGCTGCCTGTCCAGGGGATGTTGGGAAACCACAGGAGAGGATTAAGTGTTTCTATTTGAGAAACACAATTGGCCACAGTCTATGAGGCAAAGACAGAGAGCCAGAGTAGGATGAACTGCCACAGCTCTAATTATGAACCAAGAATAAGATACAGACGTGGGCCCCACAGCAAAGAGTTGTCATTTATACACAGATCTTTACAGCCAAATATGTGCAGGGGAAAACAGCAGAGTTACCATTTAACCTTGCTGTCCATATGTCCATAATGTGAGCCATATGTGTCATTTAAAATTTTTTAATAGCCACATTAAAAAAAAAGTAATACAGATGAAATTAATTTTGATAATGTATTTTCTTTAACCCACTATATCCAAAATAGTCTTTGGTTGGCCAAAAAGTTGGTCTGCATTTTTCCATAACATCTTAGGGAAAAAGAACTTTTTGGCCAACACAATATTTCAACATGCATTTAATAAAAAAAAATGAATATGTCAGATTTCTTTTTTTATACCAAAGCTTCAAAATCCAGTCAATTATAGCACATGCTGCTTGGTACTAGCCACACCTTGAGTGCTCAGTAGCCATGTGTGGCCCAGAGCTAATCCCAGGGGAAAATGAATTCCATTCTCTTGACCTCCTAGGCTGCTATTTAAAACCTTTTAAAAGCCCAGATTCATAGAGCAAGAAAAGACTTTTGGAGATGTACTATGGGCAAGGGCTATCTATTTATTCCTAACAGTTTTTCTTTAACGTCTCAGCTTCAATTTAAGCAGTGCACACCCCACTGAAAACCTCCTCCAATGCAACACTCACTGATGACTGACTAAGTGCTTGGTGCATGTGCTAAGTTGTTTTGGCCGTGTCCTACTCTTTGCTACCCCATGGACTGTAGCCTGCCAGTCTCGCTGTCCATGGGTTCTCCAGGCAAGAATGCTGGAATGGGTTGCCATTTCCTTCTCCAGGGGATCTTCCTGACTTAGGGGTTGACCCTGCGTCTCCTGTGTCTCCTGCTTTGCAAGCAGATTCTTTTACCACAGAGCAACTGGGGAAGCCCAAGTGCTTGGTCTGGGCAGGTTAATCATGGTGGATGTTCTGTCCACTCTCCCATTCTAAGGGAAACTGGCTTACCCACACTTTCCCCCTGCAATCCCAAGGCAGCTTTATGCACCCACCTCTTCTCACTATACCCTCTCTGGCTCAGGTGACCAGAGATGAATAGGCATATGACTCCATGAATTGTTGGATTTATCTCTATTATCACTGGGTGTGGAAAAGCTTGTCAAACCAGAGACTGACCACTGGGGACTAGTTGGGCCAATCAGCTCCTCTGTCAGGAATATGGAGGCAGAATCAGGCTTAGGGAGAAGCATCAGATGAAGACACGCATGCAAGAAGGAGAAACAGCTTCAATAACATTGTGTTTCCAGTTGATTCTTACGTTTCTTCAGATTCCTCTTAGATCTATTTTCCAGATCAGGATTCCCAGGGCATTTCTTTTTAACAAAGCAATTCTCCAGATGAAAGAATTTGAAAGCCTCCTATGGGAGGGTCTCCAAGTAACCCTGGTTCCTGGAACTCTGTTGGAACCTTCTAGTATCAACCACATTCTGGGCTCCTAAAGCATAGCTGTTTGCTATTTCTAGTTTACCATGAGATTCGTGTATCTTTTATGGTCATGATAAGTTTATAAGAATCCCTTAAGTGTGATACAGTGGTAAAAATCTGCCTACCAATGCAAAAGATGCAAAAGACGCAGATTTCATCCCTGAGTCGATAAGATTCCTTGGAATAGGAAATGGCAATCTGCTCCAGTATTCTTGTCTGGGAAATCTCATGGACAAAAAGCTGGACATGACTGAGCATGCATGCACGCATATGTGTGGAGGAATCCTGAGTGAGTCTATACCTTTCAACAAAAAGGCCTACCACAGAGATGGATGCTTCTACACGCATTCAAGCAAAGCTCTTTTCCATCAGTCCCCTCCAGTCTTGTTTGCACTCTGTCTCATGCCTACATTTAGCCTGACAGAAATGATAGATTGCTTTGTGTTGCATTCTCAAATAATTATGCTCTGGAAAGACCTCATTTCAGGGACCTTCCAGGGACCCTTCTAAGCTGCACATCATCAGCAGTAGTGATTTCAATCATGACTGCATGCCACAACCACCTGGTGTAGTTTTAAAATATATTGATGCCCACCACCCTTCCCAGATCCATGAAACAAGAACCTCTGGGAGCATGTCCCTTGACATCTATATCTCTTTAAAGGTCCCCAAATAATTCTAATGTGCAGCCACAATTGAGAAATACTGATATACAGGATATGCCCTTGTATAGGCTTGGGTTTCTGGCAATCAAATTAGGTATTGTCTTAATTATAAAAGAAATGCATATTTGTTTTCTAAAGAATACATAAAAAGTGGAGAATGGTCCAAAGTGGAAAAGTCTCATTCATCAATAGAATCCCCAACAATCTCACTCCCTGGAAATAAGTATTTTAGCTTCATATGTGCCCTTCTAAAAATTGTCTATGCCTATGCAAATATATGGGGTTTCCCAGGTGGCTCAGTGGGTAAAGAACCTGTTTGCACTGCAGCAGACACAGGAGATGCAGGTTCAGCCACTGGGTCAGGAAGATCCCTTGGAGTAGGAAATGGCAACCTCCTCCAGTATTCTTGTCTGGGAAAAGCCATGGGCAGAGGACTCTGGTGGGCTCTAGTCCATGGGGTTGCAGAGTCAGACATGACTGAGTGACTGAGCACAGCACAGCATGCAAATATAGGTATGAATATATGTATATGTGCACATGTATTTATATACAGAAATATAAGTGCATCTATTGAGAGAGGCACACATATATACAAATACATGTGTACATATACATTTTTTTCCTTTGCCTGGGTTTTTTTCATACTAATACATTTTAGTTATTAGCCTAGAAATTTGTGATTTAAAAAATAATGGCAGGAGATGCCCCTGGTGGTCCAGTGGTTAAGAATTCACCTTCCAATGCAAGGGATGCGAGTTTGCTCCCCAGTTGGGGAACCAAGATTCCACATGCTGCAGAGTAACTAAGCTTACCTGCCGCAACTGTTGGAACCTACATGCTCGGCAACCCACATGCTGCCAACTATTGAGCCCACACCACAGCTTGAGAGTCTGTATACCACAAGGAAAGGTCCCACATGATGCAAGGAAAATCCCAAGTGCTGCAGCTGAAACCTGACACAGCCAAATAAATAAATAAGCTTTGCAGATGACACTGGAGACACAAGAGATGCAGGTTTGTTCCCTGGGTCAGGAAGGTCCCCTGGACATGGAAATGGCACCCCACTCCAGTATTCTTGCTGGAAAATCCGAGGACAGAGAGGGTGGACTATGGTTCATGGGGCCACAAAGAATCAGACATGACTGAGCAATATCCTATCAGTTGATATAGGTATATATATATATATATATATATATATATATATATATATATATATATTTTTTTTTTTTTAAATAATGGCAGTGTTTGAGAAGTTATTTGCTTTCCCAGATAATACAACAAATTATAAAGCTAAAGTGATTAAAACAGTGTGATCTTATTCCTAGAATAAATAGTTGGTTTGAATAGAATAAAAAACTTAAAAAATAATGAAATTGATTTGGCATATAAAATGGTGTTTTAGATTATAAATGGTGTTTTATATTAGCAGGGGAAAAGATAGACTACTCAATAAATTGTATTGGGATAATTGGCTACTTTTAAAAAAGTGGACTCTTTCCAAGTGGTGGTCACTAGTGGATTCCCAATTCTACTAGATTGAAATGCTACATTGCCAGGTTTATTGGATCTATTTCTGGATGCTTTGGTGTTTTCCCATAATCTCTCTAGTGTTGCACCAGTGTTTTAATTATTAAGTGTTGTGACATTTTTAAATATCTAGCATGATTAGACTTCCTTCCTGACATTACTTTCCCCCCACCCCAAATATTGCCTGGCTAGGGACTCGTCACCTTCTCCACACGGACTAAGCCGTCCAGGAGGCACTTGCAATAATAAAGTGAAAGTGTTAGCTGCTCAGTCTTGTCTGATTCTTTGCGACCCCATGGACTGCAGACCACTCACCAGGCTCCTCTGTCCATGGACTTCTCCAGGCAAGAATGCTGGAGTGGGTTGCCATGCCCTCCTCCAGGGGATCTTCCAGACCCAGGGAGTGAACCCAGGTCTTCTGCATTACAGGTGGATTCTTTACCACTTAACCACCAGGGAAACCCAGTAATAAAGCAAGAGCCCAAATAATGCCAAAACAAGGTATCCCATATCAGTATTGAAAGAGCTCTGAAAACAAATTTTCATTGCAACTATAGCTCACAAAAGTTAGCCAGAACCTACACTCTAAGACTAAATAGGGTGGCTGCTACTTAAATAAAATATTTAAGTAGGATCAAGAGTCTCCTAACATGTTATCCAAAATGTCCAAAATACAGTTGGAAATCACTCATCATACCAAGACCCAGGAAAAGCACAACTTCAATGAGAGAAGACAAGCAAACAATGCTGACACTGAGGTGAATCAAATGTTGGAAATATCTGACGAGAATTTTAAAGCAGCTGTTATAAAAATGCTTCAAGAATAATTACAAATTCTCTTGAAACAAATGAAAAAATATAAAATCTCAGCAAAGAAATAAAAGTTATGGTGGTTTAGGCACTAAGTCATGACTGACTCTTGCAACCCAATGGATGGTAGCCTACGAGGCTCCTCTATCCATGGGATCCTCCAGGCAAGAATACCGGAGTGAGTTGTCATTTCCTTCTCCAGAGGATCTTCCCAACCCAGGAGTCAAACCCGGGTCTCCTGCACTAGAAGCAGATTCTTTACCAACTCAGCTCCAAGGGAAGCTCCTTTAATAGGATACTATGCTGAAGCGCGCTGGCTGCGACGGACCCCGCAGAACCGCGGCCGTGGGGAGCTACCCCTCGCCCAAGGTCAGGGGTGGTGACTGAGAGCACCAGGCTGCGACAGCGCAGGAGTGACGCAGAGGAGCTTCCCCACGTCCAAGGTCAGGGGCGGCAGCCGTGAGCAGATACCCCTCTTCCAAGGTAAGGAGCAGCGGGCTGGAGCAACCATTAAGAGATACCCCACGTCCAAGGTAAGAGAAATCCAAGTAAGACGGTAGGTGTTGCGAGAGGGCATCAGAGGGCAGACACACTAAAACCATAATCACAGAAAACTAGCCAATCTGATCACACGGACCACAGTCTTGTCTAACTCAATGAAACTAAGCCATGCCGTGTGGGGCCACCCAAGACGGCCAGGTCATGGTGGAGAGGTCTGACAGAATGTGGTCCACTGGAGAAGGGGATGGCAAACCACTTCAGAATTCTTGCCTTGAGAACCCCATGAACAGTATGAAAAGGCAAATTGATAAGATACTGAAAGAGGAACTCCCCAGGTCGGTAGGTGCCCAATATGCTACTGGAGATCATTGGAGAAATAACTCCAAAAAGAATGAAGGGATGGAGCCAAAGCAAAAGCAATATTCAGTTGTGGATGTGACTGGTGACAGAAGCAAGGTCAGATGGAGTAAAGAGCAATATTTCATAGGAACCTGGAATATTAGGTCCATGAATCAAGGCAAACTGGAAGTCATCAAACAGAAGATGGCAAGAGTGAACGTCGACATTCTAGGAATCAGCGAACTAAAATGGACTGGAATGGGTGAATTTAACTTAGATGGCCATTATATCTACTACTGTGGGCAGGAATCCCTTAGAAGAAATGGAGTAGCCATTATGGTCAACAAGAGTCTGAAATGCAGTACTTGGATGCAATCTCACAAATGACAGAATGATCTCTGTTCATTTCCAAGACAAACCATTCAATATCACGGTAATACAAGCCTATGCCCCAACCAGTAATGCTGAAGAAGCTGAATCTGAACGGTTCTGTAAAGACCTACAAGACCTTTTAGAACTAACACCCAAAAAAAAGATGTCCTTTTCATTATAGGGGACTGGAATGCAAAAGTAGGAAGTCAAGAAACACCTGGAATAACAGGCAAATTTGGCCTTGGAGTATCAAATGAAGCAGGGCAAAGGCTAATAGAGTTTTGCCAAGAGAACACACTGGTCATAGCAAACACCCTCTTCCAAAAACACAAGAGAAGACTCTACACATGGACATCACCAGATGGTCGACACCAAAACCAGATTGATTATATTTTTTGCAGCCAAAGATGGAGAAGTTCTATACAGTCAGCAAAAACAAGACCGGGAGCTGACTGTGGCTCAGATCATGAACTCCTTATTGCCAAATTCAGACTTAAATTGAAGAAAGTA